CTTAGCAATGCGCTTATTTGCATAATAGGTCATTTAACTGCAGCCTTATCTGTCATCGACCTTGCAAGGATCATATATCTAATCTGTCTCTAGAAGGCTTTTTACAGCCATGGAAATGATTTAGAAATATCAAAACAATTGCGCCTTATTGGGGAAGCAGAATGTAAGCAAAGTTTGCTATAACTCGCCCTAGCTTACTTGAAACTCATAATGCATTATCACATGTCGGGTTGTGAAAATTGCAACATTTCTCTCAACAACAGAAAACTCTGATTGTTAACCCATTCGCCCCTGAGCTGCCTGTAACCGCCACTGCTTATCGAAACCACTCGACTACAATCTTTGACAAAAATGTTAAGAAAAATGCATGTTGTATGTTTAATTTTCCGTTTGTCTACAACGTTAGTTCCGGTTTGTAAACCGTGTACTTTGGTGTCCATTTTGAGGGCGACTCTTAGGCTAAAACATTCCGTCAACCAAGGGAATTATGTGTCCTGGATATAGTACATAATAATCTGGACAAACAGAGCACATTGTTCTTAAAATGGCGATTTCCAAACGGTTTACGACGACTTACTAGCGGTCTTTGAGGAATAATTGAGTGACAGTCTCATATTTCAATGTTTTAGATGTAAACCGTTGTATAGGACGTAACATGTGCTGTTCTTTTCATTCTGAGAAGACCTCTGTAATGGTAAGTTCTTGTTAACCAGAATAAAGTACTAGGCAGTTGTGAGCAGAAATGCCTACAATGGTTGACAATCAATACTTGTAAACAGAAGATAAAAGGAATTAGTCTTATGCAGTACAAAGCTGACGTCACTTCCGTTTGTCTACAATGTTAGTTCCGGTTTGTAAACCGTGTACTTTGGTGTCCATTTTGAGGGCGATTCTTAGGCTAAAACATTCCGTCAACCAAGGGAATTATGTGTCCTGGATATAATACATAATAATCTGGACAAACAGAGCACATTGTTCTTAAAATGGCGATTTCCAAACGGTTTACAACGATTTGCTAGCGTTCTTTGAGGAATAATTGAGTGACAGTCTCATATTTCAATGTTTTAGATGTAAACCGTTGTATAGGACATAACATGTGCTGTTCTTTTCATTCTGAGAAGACCTCAGTAATGGTAAGTTCTTGTTAATCGTTGGAAATAGTGAAATATATAGGAATAAATCTTTCCCAACAACAGAAAATGCTCAGATTGTTGTAAACCGTTGTGCGATATGACGGCACGCATGGAAATTATTTTTAGAAACCACAAGTAAATAGACAGACCGCCCTTGGTTCACTAGTAACTTTAGCCATGTTTCACTGGCAGAACAATCCGTGTCAGTATCATTCTCTGTTTCCGACGTATCGTAATTGCGTATCGAGTCCATAACGGTGTCTAAAGAGCAATGAACATTATAATTCTGTGACCATGACAACTACACCTTGTTGTCACTGTAATGTCAGTCTTGTATGCTCACCCTGCCCTGGAGCATTTACAACCCTCACAGCAGGCCAAATAGAAATCAACATTCATTTTTGCATTCCAAAAAATTTTATCTTTATTCTATTCCCCTGAAAAAACACTTTCTTTTCACTTCAAATGTTTACTGTGGCGCATACCGTTCAATATCTCGAAAATACAATCTTGGACAAAAATGTTAAGAACAATGCACATTGTATGTTTAATTTTAGAATACTTCCCTCTAAAGCCCGGTTCACTCAAGATACTCCCCCCTCCCCCCCAAAAAACAATGTTGAAGTGTGGCCCAAACATTTTTGCTGCCTACTAAACAACATTGACCAGGGAGGGGTGGGGAGAGGGGTCACTGTGGTGCCAAATACACAGGGTGGGTCTCCTGTGTGTAAGAAAGAGCAAAATTCTTAACACTTTTTGTCCAAAATTGTAGCTTCAAAACATGTTTTTCGGCAAAATCTCCGGGGCGAATGGGTTAATATTTCAAATATGGCACTCTCAAATACTAACCTTGGCCTTCATTTTCTCAGCTTCCATTTAACAAAAATGCTTCATTTTTGGATTTTGAGTTCAGGTTAAGAGTACATTTCAAACAAGCAAATTTATATGCCTGATCATATTTTGACTCTTTAGAAGTTCTAAAACCTCAGAGAACACTAATTTCAGCCTTCATGCAAAACTTCGAGCAATAATAAAGCGCAACCTGGTACTGTAAAGAAGATCAAGTGTACTTACAGCCTTAGCTCTGCCTTAAGATTTGCATTAACCCGAGGATACACCACAGAGAAAAGACCGCAAGCTGATGTTCTTGAAGTGAACCAGTCTCCTGCAAATAACAACAAATTCATTCTAACACTTACTGAGCAAGTAATATTTTTTTAGCTTCATAATATATTATTATTTGCCTTGGCTTGACATAAATGCCAGATAATTTCTTATTTGTGAAACACAAGATCCTAACAAACCTTGTGATAGTCTCTTGACCAGAGGAACAAAGTGATTTTCCAAATCTTGGCTTGAATGCTCTGCAGCAATTGTTCTGAGAGACTCAACTGCCTGCAAGGAAAAGAGTGAATAAATGGAAATCTTTCTTCTACAACTGTATATTCAGGTTGGCCTATGAGCCTAAAGTTTAATATCTTCAGAAAAATTATTTTTATTTCCTGGACTGATGAGTTCATTTAATCACACAATTTACAAACTTAACTTGGCTTTTCTCATACCTTGTCCCTCACAACAGTTTCTTCAACTGTTGCCAAACTTTCCAAAGGAGGCTGAAATTTTGAAAAACTAAAAATTAGCAGACATACTCAAACAAAGCCAGCAAATAAAAGCCCATAAAAAAATAAAATGATATACAAATCCCTTGCACTATAAAATACAACAAGACATTAACCCTTTCACTCCCAAGCCGGCCGGAACCGGCCGCTAAGAAATATGCAATTATTCCCAAGCCGGCCCTAACCGGCCGCTGAAACAGCCTTTGTTTTGATGCCCTCTCACCTCCCCCGTAAGGCTTGAAACTCTAAACAAAAGGTGTCCCATTGTTTTAGACATTTCAGCCAATCATATTACAGCTACTGCGCATAATAAACTCGTGGCCTGAGGGAGCTTGAGAGAGGCAAAAACACAACATTCACAACCTCGACACTGATCAACATGGCGGTACGCGACGGAATTAACGATAAAGACTACAGTGAAATATTTGGACATTGCAGTGAAGAATTAGATTGAAAGGATTCATAATGTTTTAGCTTAAGCTATGGGCACCAAAATATTGTGCAATGCACGAAATAATTATGTCGCATCGAGAAAAAATTTTCCGCTTGTTTCCTACACGCACTACCGCTAGGTTTGTAGTTCCTTTACGCAGATCCGTAGGTGTGTTTTTACATTCGTGTAAAACTATTTCAGTCGATTTTTAGGTACATATACAGGCATTGTAAAACTTACTAATGAAGTGTGCATTAGCCGCAGAATAAAAGAGTTCTTCACTCAAGAGATTTGTAGTCGCTCAACCGTTTAAAAAATTCAAAAAAATCAACCACCGATTACGGATTAGCATGGCCTCTCGTTTATCACCAACAAGTATTAGCGAAGACCAATTCAGGGAAATCTTTGGAAATTCGGACAAGATTTGATGAGAATGATTCAGACATCGACTTCACGGGCTTTGAGGCCAGGCGGGATGAAGAAAGCGACAGCGAAAGTGAGGAAACAAGCAGCGAAACAAGCGAGGATTCCACCGAAACAGAAACTCCATGGACGATCGAACTTTCAAACTTTGAAGTGAGCGAGTTCTCTGGTGAACCTGGATTACGTTTAAACCCTCCGGACGATGCCAAGGCGGACCATTATTTCTTAAAAGTTTTTGGAGAGCAAACAGTTGATCTGATAGTCGAAGAAACTAATCGATATGCACTGTACAGTGAAAAGAAAAAAGAAAGGAAATTGAGATCGTGAAGCCACGCGTTTCGGATGTTTACACAGCGAACATGGGCGGTGTTGACCGAGTAGATCAACTTCGCTCGTATTATTATGTTGGAAGGCAGTCGAGAAAGTGGTACAAATATCTGTTTTGGTTTTCTTTTAATTTGGCTGCCTGTAACGCTTATATTTTAGAGTCCGAAAGCCGTGTGAAACGTGCACAAGATCTTTTCCGTCTTGAGTTGGGAAAGCAACTCATCCGCAATTTCAACTCCAGAAAACGACCCGCAAGCGACGCTTTGCCGCTTGTCTCTCGGACCCCATTGACCCATATTTCCACCAAGATCGACGGCCGTAAGAGGCAGTGCGTCAACTGCAAGGCTAAAGGGAAGAAAACTCCCAAAAACTATCCCATTGAAACAAAATTTATGTGTCAACAGTGCGGAGTTGCACTCTGTCAAGACCAGTGTTTCTGCGACTACCACAATGAAATTTGATTTACCTCACTGACTTAAATTTTCAATTCTTTTTTCAATAGCAGCGATCGTTATTTGTAATGTGAATGTCGGTATTACTTCTACATGTTATAACTTTGCATTATTAAAGCTTTGTACTGTATATAATATTTATTATATCGAATATTGAATGATGAATATGAGATGCAGTGATGTGACACGCTAACAGCAATGGCGGGAACTTTGAATTTTTCAAAATATAAAACTTCACAACATATTTTATACCTGTACTTGATTTGCTTCTTAGTAATAACTAAGTCAATAAATAAAACAATGTTTAACCTTGAATTCTGAGTAATTAGTAGACTGAGTAAGGGTCTCAAAAGCTACTGAGCATATATGTTTTGATTTCTACTCTCTTATTGGGATGAATCTCCTAATTGCCTCTGGGAACAACAGGAAACCATGCATGAAGGCCCCTGGTAGTGAAAGGGTTAAAGGTCAAATGAACCAAAAAATTGACATATTTTCTTTTGTCGCTTTACCTTCACCAAACACTAAAAAGAACCATCCTAAGTTAGATTTGGGTAAAAATTTTTCTTCCCAGGCCTTTATAGAAAGATAAAAGATCAAAATCCGAGCATTTCCGAAAACTTCACGAAAACGTTTCTGAAATGGTCGCGTGATAGACTGGGGACTACGTGACGTCAATGTTGGTCTTTCAGGGCGGAAAAACGTTCTGCGCAAGCTTCTGTGCATCCCTCATCGCCTGCGTTTGTTTGTCTCGTTCTGTGAGAGTTCTGACTGAGACTGAATGAAATACACGAGGGGCGAACGTGTGCTCCTTGTTAGAGCCTTTTTTGTTGTTGTTGTTGTTGTTGCTTTTTCGTCACTTGAAAATTACTTTGGATTCAGAACAACCAATGTTAGAGTAAAAACAGATCATCCGTCAGTCTGAGGAGGAATAAAACGTTTTGAACATTTCCAAAGAGGTTTGTATTTTTCTGATAATTGTGCATTCGATTTTTGAATTGATTTTGTGTCCAGTGCTTCGCCTTCTTTCGCCGGACTGAATTAAAACCCGCTTGTATTCTGTTATTAGTAGTTACGGTTAGTTTTTTAAATTCCCAGATTTATTTACCTTTGCAGAACCAGCTTTATCCTTGTCTTATGTCAAGGAACCGTAATGCTAACGCTTGCGAGTGAACAAACTTGAGCGCTTAAAACTTCCTCGGAATTTTAGAAGACCAGCAAGCTTACTCGAGAAGAAAAGACTACTTCGATCATTTTTCTGTTGCTCAGGTAATAATAGTCAGAGTTTTTTCCCTTTAGTTTTTTCAGTTTTAATTACATAGTTTTGTTATCTTTCTGTATAGCGCAAATTTTCCTTTCTCTCGCTGTGAAGTAGCGGAGAACTACAACTGCCGACAGTGACTCCAAAACAATCGACTCTTTGCCCGTAAACAATTGCTGGAGCTGGGTTTGACTGAAGCGAGCAAAATAAATCCTTATGTGCAGTTTTCTGTATTTTCTAATGATTCAGTTTGCTGAGTTTAATTTGCTTGAATGAAGACCCTCGCATGGACCAGTTATTACTAAAAAAAAAGTAGTTAATCTAGCTAAGTAGTCGGAATCATGGCTTGGCTTCGACGCTTGCAACTAATCTTTTTCTTTCAAGATCTTTAGGTAGGTTGTTTCCGTACAGAAAATTCACTTCTTCTTTGTCATCAGGTATAAGAGCCTTAAGCCTTATGTTTTTTTACTGAAAATTTGTTGTTTTGCAACCTTATTGAAGCTTTTTTTAGTTAACTTATGCTGAATTTTATGCATGATGGAATTGTTGTTTGCCTGTCGCATCTCTTTGCCTGCTTAAAGTGGCGTCTGTGGTCCTTAAAGTGACCTCAATCGGTAATTAAATCTTATACATAATTGGAAAGAAGTTTTTGCAATAACATAACTTTAACTTTGTTTGAAAGAAATCTTACTTACGCGTAGGTTTTTAACAGATGTTATGCATGTTCAACTTGACAACACAAAGCAAAATCAGGAGCCGATAATCGGTTCCTGTCAAAATTAATCTGCGCAAAACGATCAAGTTTAAAAAACTATGGTTGCTTTGAAACCGATCTTGGGGAAGATTTACTAGATAAAGATTAACTCTTTTTCTGCCCACATATCAACGCCAAAACTTCTACATTGAGGATTTTGTTTACATTTTAGTGTTCTGCGAAGCTGGAAGTGTCCGATGGAGCGTGGGTTTTAAATTATCAGCTCGAGTGCGACAAAGTTCAGTGACTTCAAACACATTGTGGGTAAACTTGAATTTCTTTGGGCAGATTATTATACAAAGATATTTTGTTTTTGTGTCCACGGTGGAGCTCCGGACCTTATATATCCCGGAACTTCCTTATATGAACACATTTTGTGAATGCATCTTGAAAAAAATCTTACTTGCGCACGCACATTTCCAGCACAACTCAAGGAAATTAGTAAATGTCGTTAAAGTCCGTTTTACTATGATGTATTCTTCGAGCAAATTCAATAATAAGAAGGTTATAACCACAGCTTGCAACTTTTGAAGACAAATTGCCTGTTCTTTCCAGGTTTATGGCCGCACAAACCACTCTGCGCCAAGTCGACTCGAAAAACTCTGTTTTGAATTTCCCGCTTTTTTTCACCTGACCAACATTGAAGTCACAAGCTGTTTTTTCCGACAATTTTTCTGACCGCTCTACGAAGATAAGGGCCAAAAACAGCAATTTTTAATTGCGAATATCTCGCAGATGCTTGCTTCAATTGAGCTGAAACTTCATAGTATGTTTATTTGGTTCATGTTAAACACATTTCGATAGAATTGAACTAAAATAAAAAATGTCGAATTTTTGGTTCATTTGACCTTTAAGGACCTTCTTGGTGTAATGCTTTCCAAATAAATAAAGCTAAATAAAATTTTTATTTAAGGTTTATTTTTAGGTTTGCATTAGCAAGTTTATAAAGATAAAATTACAACCCTCCACACTAAACTTAAGTCCGAGAAAACAGCCAACACTTTGTGACACCACCAACGGCTTCCTGCAAATGACCTCTGAGAAAAGAGCATAAATATTCCACACTGGTGAAGTGTCACTACCCAGATCTGGGTACACTCACTTCTTCCACTAACAACAAGGAATCAAACAGGCTGCTCTTCTCCTCAACTTGCCTATTTTATCAATGTTTTTAGTTGCATTGGTGGGGGTGCCATCTTCTTTAGGGCTGAAACTTTATCAGGGTCAGGTTGAACCCATCTTCAGAAGAGATGATGCCACAGAAAATTTTCTTCTTCTGCTTAATCTTACACTTGTCTGTTTTTCCTCTATCAAAGCATAAACAAAATCATTGGCCATTCACACCTACACAGCCTTAAAAGGTCTGGTCTATTGTGTCTTAAAGCCAAACAGCATTTAAAAGAATCAGGAACAACCAATGGTAGGTTAAAGGTTGTTATCTGTTCACCAAATCTACCTTACAAGTATCTTTAAGAGCAGTGGGTTGTCTTGATGTTAACAGTTGTAAGGGTGTGTCTCAAGATTGGCCAGCAAGGGTGTGGCTGCCTTTGCTCTGGCTCCTTTTGGCCTGGAATGTGAGGGAGTGGCTGGCCTGGGTGCAGCTCCTTCGCGCTTGGCTCAAAAAGATGCAAATAATCCATGGGTGTCATGGGCTTTAACTGAATTCTTCAGCACAGAACCCTTGAATGTAATGAGGTTGAAGTGATGTGCTGTTGGTACATTGTAGACTTAAGAGGGCCGGACCTTCTGCTTCAGCAACAAAGACGGTTGCAATTTTCGGCCTAAGAATTCACATGTGATCCTGCATGTTCCACACTGCACAAGCTTAACACCATCATAAGCTGAATGTACTGTACAGAGAGTACTAACTTTGGAAGTCCACCCACTGCTAAGTTTTGAGGAAACATAGGATGATACATAATGTACAATATGAGGGGCAAAAGCGTTCCTTGTGCTCCTGTGTCTAACTTTGCTATAAGTGCAGCACGTTGATTGCTTTCTGTGTGGAGGTCAATGTTTACTTCAACAAACACTTCATGCTTCGTATTACACGGTATTTCAGTTTGGAGGATCACATGCATCAACTTCAATTGATTCAAAAGTAACTGACTCAAAGCCCTCATTTAAATCAACTGCACTCTGGTTTCTGTGTCCATCATCTAAAGACCTTCTTCTATCTCAGTAGCTTCTGCTTCTACAATGGTGCCTTGATCTGGAATTTCATCTGTTTTTAGATCTACCCCTCGAACCTCCCAGGAGCTCTGTGGTTAATGGATATTGGTCAGTACTTATAGTCAGAACACTGAACTTGCCATCATTTCAGGTCATTCTCGTGTCCCTTTCATTCAGTCATATCTGCGTGAGCTTTGGTTTTATTCTTCCCTCTTCAATTTTGAGCTATGCGCATTGTCCATAGCCAGCAAGAACACTCTCGTCAATTCTTTGTCGCTGGGATACTGATCCCGTTTTTTTTTTTACCTTCTTTTATGACACCGCATCCCTTTATTGCGAGAATTTGTCCGAGTACTTTTGTTCCTTTGATTTGTCTCAGTTCAAATGCCAGTGGTAACCCCCTGTTTGCTTTGTTTCAGGTTTCCATCACAGCGATCTGCAACATCACATTCTCTAAGCCCAAGCATTCACCCTCTCGAATGCCACTACACAAAACTCTCGTTCAGTGTGGAACTCTTATCTGTCAATTTTATGAGCTTTGACCATTTCCTGCCTCCCTGTCCACCATTACTGCTTTTGTCACTTTGGTCAGTGTTTCCATCGCTTCATATCAGACTATAAACAATAGATCTAAGTACTCTCCATCATTTGCATGTCCTTGACCATTTTGACACAGAGAGGGTAAGAAAAGTCTATGATTCACGTTCCTCCCTGCAAAGCTCCCCTATCACCCAGCATGCAAAGAAAGTCGTGTCTAATAGCCCAGGGCTAGTGGATTTTGCTATTGGGCTAGAGATATTTGTTCTTAACTTGCCCAACGGACAAGTGTGGTTTTTTGGGGAAATTCAAATTACAGAAGGATTGCAATCAATCTCGCTAATCAAAAAGGGTTTTGGGGCTAGTTGAAATGACTTGTGGGCTACTGCATGCTAGCTACAGCTTGTGCGAATGGCAGGCTGTAAAACTGACTTTCTTTGCACCCTGCTTTCAGCATCTGGACACCTTTTCTTCACACTTTGTGTTATCTTGAGGTAGCCTCATGTTCACCAGTTCTGGTGCCCTTCTCACTGTCACTCGCACAAAAACTCTTGTTGTTCCAGTTCCTAACATGCCAAGATCACCACTGCCCTACGTTTGCGCTCCCGCCACATACCCTCTCTTCACCTACACAATCACTTCCAACCAGTTAGACTGCATCACAGCGAAGTCTCTCAACACTAGTATCAAGTGCTTAGCTTCTTTGGTCTCTTTGGATCCTCAGGATTTCTCCAGTGAGTCTATGTCGTGCAGTCGCTACATTCATCTTCAAGTGCGGAATTCCAGCTGAACTCATCAAACTCCAAAGAGACTGGTGGTCTGACCCTTACATGTTGCATTTATGCTTGCCTCTGGTGGACAGACTTTTTTGTTCAAACAATGTTTCCCAGCAGTGCCTTATAGGGACATTTTATGAACTCTTATATATATTTTGTTTCATGTTATAGTTTCAGTTTCCCCTCCAAGTGTTGTACCTCGCAGGCTTTTGTAATTAAGATTCTTATTGATTGTTCTGTATATATCCGGCGTATTTTATATAATACATTGTATATTATCTTTTTCCTCCTACACCCTCTGTCCTTCCCTCTGTGATAAGGAAGTTTTGGCATGGCAATAGTCGACTACAAAGTCACTGTTTAAGAGAACTTACCAGTAAGCAGTGCACATATTCAGGTCCACCAACCAATGGGGTGAATGTACCAAGCTACAAAAAAGAAACCAAACAACACATCATCATTATATCCAAAGACGTGATGATGAGTTGGTACATGCAGTCGGTTGCAAAGTTGCCATCAAAAGCACATCAAGTTTGATTGAAATGGGGCCTATGATCTCTGTACAAATATTTAACTGACTTCTCACAATGCAAAAACAAGTTTTACATGTATGATGGCAGGGTCTAACTAATCAAAATACATACCTGCTCTGCAAGAGCCAATAAAACTTCATCTTCGTCATAAATTGTATCTAAATTGGAAACACAAACCTTCCAGTCAGGAGTGATGTAACAAAATTAACAATTATTGTGAAATTTGACTTACCAGCAGTTACACATGTACTACAAACTAATGTAGAAGTTGTAAGAATAAATGTGAATGTGGCAAGTGTCAGTCACTTGGTCTCATGGACTGGATCAGCCACTATTTTTAAATGGTAAATATAAATCAAAAGTTTGAAGGATTTACTTTCATGTTGTAGAACAAGTTAATTAATAAACTCAAACTTCCCATAAGCCGCCACCCAAAATGCAAAAATTTAGTGGTCCCTTGCCTGAGGTGGTCATTTACAAGATGCAAACCAAAAGGAGTCTCTTCGTAATAGAGGTCCAAACACTATTCTACATTTTGGGAAAGAATACTTGTGGACCCTTACACATTTTTTCTCCTTTTTCTACCTAAAATAAGGAAACTTACCAATTTAAAGGAAATACACCCAAACAGAGCAATGGTATTGCTCCATGAAGTCAATAAAATCTGTAAGATGTTTGTATGGTGAGGGGCACGAAATCCCCCCAGGAACCCTCCCCCACAATACAAACAACATCTGCACGATGGTTAACGCCTTGGCGGATTAATACAGTAAAAGTAAAACTCTACAATTCCTTGACTTTATGAAGCTAATATTTGTTAGTTTTGAACAAATCCCAAGGCTGCTGCCTAACAGATGCCCGGTGGCCATGCCTACGATTTACTTGTAAAAAAGTAAAAAAATAAAAAAAAAAGTAAAGTAAAAAAAGTAAACTTAACCTTGCCTGTTTGCTTGTACACACAAGTGCTTTTGCTCTGTGCGTTCTTTTTTTTTTTTTTTTAAACCAGCTTTTCTGGAGACAAGCCTGCCCAGAGGGAATGTGCACAAATGGGACTCAGGTCCCATGCAAGGTGCCATCCCTACCCAATCCCTCAACCCGTAAAGGTTGGCCACACAGCTTACGTCTACAACCCCTACTCTTGTCGAAAAGTGATATGGGTTCTTTTACATCCCGCAAGAACAAATCAGTGAAAGTGTTGTGAGACAGGACTTACGGTTTTTCATCCTTATCCCAGAAGACTAGAAAGTCTACCAATTTGCAGATGTCATTACAAAGGCAGAACTTTCTTCTCAGTTATTTAAATAACTGGTCCCACACAAAGTCAGTTCAAAGAGTCAGTTCAAAGCATGTAATTCCTTCTTCATGATATGCATTGTTTCATGTCACCTCTAAAGTTCTTTACACTGTAGTACATACAGCAAACATAGGGATCAAACCATGCCTTGAGTGATCGCTTAGACGAGGATAAAAACAATGGAAAATTCTAAAACCGTCATCCAAAAGAGTGGTTGTGGTTGCCTACAAGATGTGGTTGTTTACAAGTTAGAGGTTCCATCTCTAGTGATTTGATTGAGAAAATTTTGGCTTTTTCAATAGGTGGTCGCTTATGGGGGTTGGTTGGTAATTTCACTGTATTTGAACAACCAAACATTTTGGAAACTGCCTGATTAACAAGCTACCCTTACAATGCAGAAAACTTGAAATAATCAAACGAAGAAACTAGAATGTATGCTCTTATCTTACTGCACTAATAGGTCTACTAGTCTAGAAGACATGTAGCTGTGCTCAAGATAGACTGTATTTGAGTCTTATTTCTTAATAAATACATTATTATATGAATTACATGATTCCAGTAATCTTCTCCCAAATAAAGTCTGTGCAGTAAGCTGTTGGAGTCCATGCCGACAAGAACACTACAAAACGAACTGGGCACTGTCAATCTAAGAAAAAGTTTTCCAGAATATATTGAGCTAAGAAAAAAAGATAAGCTTACACTCAAGTATCAAACTGCTCATGATAAAAATAGAAGAGGATTTTTAAGTAGCTAGGCGAAAACAACACTTGTGAAATTGATTTAAAGTGAAACGACTTCGTGACCACAAACAAATAAAAATAATTTTGCGAATTTGGTTGCTATCAGAATACCATTCCCAAATTCAAGATCGGAGAAATGTAAGCTTATACTTCCTCGCAAATCAATCCTAAATTCCTTCAATTCAACCGCTTATTCACTCCACAAGTTAATTTACCTGTAAGGAAAGGTATAAGTTCACTTCTTGTTCTTTCTACCCCCAGAGCCAAGGCAATAGTCGATAGTTTCTTGATGGAATTCAGCCGCAGCTATAAAGTTTTACAACAAAAATCAGCCCTTTGACTGGAAGCTCACGCACATTAGAAGATAAAACCATTCACGAAATAACTCAAGAAAGGAAAAAAACGAACAAAAAACTAACAAGGAATATTTCAGTACCTGAACATCTTCGTTTCTCAGTTCATCTATAAGTACAGCAATCGGGTAAAGTGAGTCATCCCCATCACCAGACGCCATGTTGTCAGTACGAAAATCCTTGTTTCGTTGCCGCTCGAGCCGCGAGCCTTATTGCAAATTACCCATAAAATCTTTCGGGCGGCATACTCGCTCCAGGATTCCGCTGTCGTACACCCCACGGAGATCACAGGTAACCCAAGCTGACCATCCGCACTGTAAACTTTCAAAATATGAGGATTTGTATGGGGCAGAAGAGGATTGTTTCTGTAGCCTAAGAATGTGAAAGGACATGAAAGGATTTGGATAAAATCGACTAAACCCACAGGCATACCAACCACTGTTCGTGTCGCCGTTCATGCTCTGGTTGTTGTTATTGAAATCTGAGCATCGGTCCAGTTTGTACTCGATAGAAGAAATACGGCACATACAGATTTGGGCCAAATGTTCAAGCCAAATATAATATCGAGCTGGTAATCTGTCATGTTTTCGCCTTCCCGAGCTGGTTTAGAACTAAAAGCGGGCAGCAAATGACTCAGATTTCAATAACGACAAAGGGCCAAACGAACAAAGGGTGGACAGGGTGGTCTGCCTCTGTTAGTTCCACTTAAATTGTGTGTTTGAATTTCTAGGCCTGGATCGAAAACCGTTACGATTCAGTCATTTTTATGACCCTAAGAAAGGGCCGTGCCTAGGCCTTTCCCGATTGCGCTCGTAAAATCCTAAAAAAGTGCTGGCAAAAATGGCTAAAAAGTGCTCAAAAAGTGCTAAACGTTGTGAACAGTTACCTCTTAGCTTTTCGTAAATATGTCCATTTTTACTGAAGTAATTAACAATCTATTTTGCGTTATTCGACAGGTTGTTACGAAAGGTTGATAGAATATAGAACAATAATATTTCCCGGTTACGAATTGTAATAAATTCAGCAGTACTAGTCAGCCTAAACATCAGATGATTTAGAAATTTGAGATGACACACGCATGATTCATCAGCCAATCAGAAACTTCTGTTCTTACGCTCAGTAAGGATAAGTCCACGTGCCTTTCCATGACAACGGTCTTTTATTCTTGACAACATCATTAGTTATTCAAATTTATGACCTGGAACACGATTCTTGTTGAGAGCGGCACACAGTTTTTGCTTTAAAATGTTTTAGAAGACATATGTTGCTCGAAATTTGCTCGAAATGTGAAATATTGCTCAAATGTTGCCCAAAGTGCTAAAAAGTGCTTAAGGGTGCTCAAAATGCAAAATAGTGCTCCAAACTCAAAAAAGTGCTCAAAAGGGGCTCAGCGCAATCGGGAAAGGCCTAGCCGTGCCTTTCGAAATATTGGCAAAAAAATCATTATATTCCCAACTGCAAAATAAGCCTTGCTTCTTTCAGGTGTTACTATCCAGTAAGGAGTCATATGTGGCTTGTATCTCCCATCAATTTGCACTAACAGACTGATTTTTGGCACAGGGTAATAGGATCCTGTTTCATCTTATTCTTCCTGAACATGCCAACCAATTCAATAATTCACAAGTTTAAATTTTTGTGACGTCAACATCAGTCTTTACACTGTAATTATTTAACTAGGGTGGTTTTTTTTGGAGGGGGGGACTCCAGATTCAGTTTCTTTTTCTGAATCCAAAACGGATCATCAATCCATAAAATTCACATACCGGCTGGATTCTTCAGATCAAACCCAAAAAACATTCAGTACCTAAGCGTCTTTAGGGAAAGGTTTTTCAAAAATGCATTTTTGACGAGCTGCCTGTACTACTGAACCGCTCTTGACCGAACACACTCAACAGGTGTTGCGGTAACATCGGTACCAGCTGAACTTCTGTTGGTGGTGTCATGTTTTGCCTTTACTACATTTCATTTCCATGTTTATCATGACTGTTTTAAAACCCTTGAGGTAGTTAGGAAACTGAGAGAATCACATTCTAAGTAAGGTCGTTACACAGGAAAAATTCAACCTCGTCCCCAGGGCGCTTTTCCCTGGCTTTTCCCGCCCCACCTCTAAAGCCAGTGAAAAGCGCCCTGGGGACGAGGTTGAGGAAAAATTGACTTGAAACTTGATTCACTCAGTTTCCTAAATCCTTAGTTGCCAAACTTCAGAGTGATTCGGCGTACTCTGCATTCGGCG